CAGGGGCCAGCCGGCCTGGTGCTGCCGGGGCAGGCAGCTGGGCAGCAACCGGCAGCTCGGCTGGGTGGGGAAGCATTGGAGGGGCCTGTCCCCGTGGGGCAGCGCTGTGGGCCAGGCCTGGCACTGCTGGCTCCTGGGAGCCAAGGACCCAGGTCTTGCCATCAGCTGCCAGCAGTGCCCGGCTCCTGTGCTGCCCAGGCCGGCCATCAGGCAGGAGCGGGAAGGGGAGTGCGGGGTCAGCCTGGACTGCTGTGCCTCCCTGGAGATGGGTCGGGTGCCTCGCCGCGTGGCTCCCTGCAGAACCAGCTTGGGTCTTTCTACTAGATATGTGATGGGTTAGAATGACAGGGTTGTTCCTAAAAGGGTGTGTGGTGTGGGTTGGAGTTTTTGGGTTTTTTTCATCCTTACGTCAGAGTACAGCAGTGCCGGGCCTCCCTTCCTCTGGAGGGGAGGCAGTGCCAGCCCGCCAGCGCGGGGGCCCTTCAGATGTCTTGGCCAGGTGTGATCCAGCTGTGCCCTGGGCAGCGAGTTGTAGAGGAGATATCAACTGAAGTGATGTACTTCCACCTCAAAAATTATTTGGTATTGTTGTAAGTAGTGTAAAGTTCCCAAAGCTTACAGAGGAGGTTAGGTAAAAAGTGCATTTGACAGCCACTTGTATAGCACCAATTTTACAGTTGCAGACTGGGTCTATCGCTGCCTGTCGAGTTTTGAGCATCTTGTAATGTGGGAACAAAGAAAACAAAACTGGCTAACACAAGAAAAACTGAAACGTAGAACTCGAACCATATTAATTAACGAAGTGATTAAATCTGGTTGTAGTCCCTCAAACTGTTTCTGACAAGGGCTGGAGTTCACGCTAAGTGTCCTATATGCCAACAGTTTTTCTAAGCAGTCTGTTTTCTGAATATCTTTTCACCACGACTGAGTTACCCATAGGGGAGGGAGATGCACGTGGATTTTATATATTCCTAAACTAGCACTTTAGGAAAGAGTTGAATTCAAGGAATAATAAAGAAATAAAAAAATCCCACCAAAATCCTGTTTTAAAATTTTACTGTTTAAAAATGATGCATGTTTCTTTGCAGAAGCCTGACCAGAAAAGCTGTGTGTGTCATACAAGGGCTTGAGCTGAGCAGGGGCTTGTGAACAGCAGTTGCCGAAATGCGAAGAGCAGCCAATGCACTTTGCTCCCTTTGCTGATCAGACAATAAACATGCTTTTCTCTCCCACACTTTGGATAATTGGAGGGTCTTGTCAGCACACATCTCTTGCTCCCTGCGCAGAGTCTCTGCTTGACAAAACATGGGTGCAAACAGTAACAACAAATGTCAGCTCTTTGTTATCAGACTGCTCTGGGGCCAAGATCTTACTCAGTTCAATAAGATTAGACTTGGAAGAGCTGTGGTGGAGTGGTTTGCCCCCATCTGAGAGGCATTAGGCAGAAGTTCAGCTGTGCTTCTGCGTAGCCGTAGCTTCAGACCATGCTAGAGTCTCCTGTTGGGAGCCATCAGTTGGGCGTTAGACTGGTGGGGTAATCTTATTTCTGCTACCCTTCTCTTTGTGTTTGCCTTCTTGTCTCCTGTCTTACTCGACAACAAACCTTTTGGGGCAGGGGCTCTTAGCAGCTTGCACCCTGCAGGGCAAGTGCCCAGCTGCTAATAGAGCAGAGCCCTTTCCCTGGCATGGTGCTGCCTCATGCCCACTCCCTGAATCCACTCGAAGGTGAGATCTTCTCCTGCCTTTCTCTTCCTGCACGTGCCTCTGTCTCTTTGGTGGAGGGCCCGGGGTCTGTTTCCTTTGCCCTCCGTGTGGTGTGTGCCACTGATTTGACTGGACAGGGTTGCACTGGAGAGGGACGTTTGCAGGGTGCGTCCTCACGCGCAGTACTGCTGCTGAAGTCTGCGAGTGACCAGGGCTTTCCCCACCTGCTGGAAGCAGCTTTTTGGCCTGGAAGCCAGAATTCCTCTGGCTTTTCTGTGAAAATAATACTGAGATTGGGCAGTTTCTGTGCTTTGTGTACACGGAACACTCCTCACAGCTTGCCCCAGTGCACCCTTGCGTGTAGGGTGGTAATGAGAGCCTCAATATGCTGACTTTTCCAAACTATTGTTTGGAGACTGTAACCAAAGTTGCTGTCTCCTCATTAGAATAGCCTTTGTCAGAGCATCTTTAATCAACGGACTCCCGAGAGACAGCATTTTTAGAACTTCTTTTTATACCTCCTCTTGAAAGTTCTTTGCACTGCACCTCATGAAAAAACTAATGAGATGCTGTGAGAGTTCGGGCTACTGTTAATTAGAAGAGGTCTGAGGAAGAAGTACTGCACATACATTAACTTTATCTTGGCTCACATGTCTCCTCTCTCCCTCTGTCTCTTCTTTCCAGGTTGCACAAACAGCAGATGGCTTGGATGCTGACCTCTGGAAAGACGGCTTATTTAAATCCAAGGTCACACGATACCTGTGCTTCACGAGATCATTTTCAAAAGAAAATGTAAGTCCGTTTGCTGAGTGTCTGCATGATTTGCATCTGTGCCTGGTATGCTCTTACCCATAAGATGATTCATTTTATGGAGGCAATTATAATTCAAGCAGGCATTTCACTGGGTTTGGGTGAGTCAGGAGGCAAACTGCAATGGCTAGATATTTGCGTTTTGTCTATGTTCTTCATGGAAAGAAATCATTGGCAAAATCTGCAATAAAAGCAGCAGAAAAAGGAATGCTTGCATTTCAGTAACCCCATCGCGCTAGTGTTTCCTGCTGTAGCAATGGGCGTTGCATGCTCATGATTCTGATGAATTTCTAGCTCTGATTACCTAGAGAAGCAAATGCTGCAGGTAGTGTTGATGAAGGAAATGTTAGTTTCTGAATCCAGGGGCATCATAGATATTTTCTTGCAGGATTAGCTTTTATTTCTTTGTTGTTTTTTGTGCTGATTCTTGAAAATTTGCCCATGTTGTGCGTATGCTACCGTACTCTTGTAATCTTCTGGTATGGCTATTAAGCATAAGTTAATTTCTGATTAGTGGCAGTTGTCTGCCCACATCTTCCGTGGAGGAGAGGAGACCATGTGCACTGAGAGCCTGATGCCTTCTACTGTGTTTTTGGTTGAGGCTAGTGTGAAAACTTCCTCTTTTCTGGAGGAACTATTTAATTCTACAATGAATGCACTCCATCTAGTGGGTAATCCTGCTTTTCATCGTGTTTTGGATATTCACAGTGACTCAGTTGTCAGGGTATGGAGATACCATTTTGTACTCGTGCTTTCACCAATGACGGGAACAGAAAAGCAACTGCGACTTCAGAGGCTGATCACAGGTCCTGACAGGAAAGCCGGGGGCTGCCAATTTCCAGCATTTGACCTTTATTCCATCCACTTCCCTGCCTGCCTCTAGATTAAAATAAAGCTCCAAAGCTATGGGAAATACCGCTTCCTGGGGTGGATGAACAATAATTGTGCTTTTCATCCTGGAGTACCTGCAGGAGCAGGAATAATAGCCCCAGAATAGGCGGGGAGGGTATTAAACAGAAAGGTTTGTGATGATTTGAGTATTAAGTTTATCTGTGGCTACCTTAAATGCGAGGTTGTCAGAAATAATTACAGGATAGTAGCAACTGCTGGCTACCAGAGACAGTGTAAATACCCTCAGTCGGTGCCTGTTGGGCTTTTGGCATGAATCCTCTGCTCGGCATGGTTTGGGAATATGTTCCTCATACTGATGAGGAGTGAATTAAAGGCAGCGTGGGGGAAAGACTGCTGGTCCCAGCTGCACAGCAGCCTGCTGTGCGAGGTGTGGCGCGATTCGCTGCGTCCCGTGCACGGGTTGTCTCGAGCCCTGCGTCAGTGGTATGTTAGACCTGCAGGCGCTTCTGGCAGAGCTTCCTGGGAAGCAGCCTGCAGGCAGTGCTGCCGGTGTTCGGGCAGCGGTGTGGAGCCGGTGCTCCTGTGGTTCACCGCAGCTATACCCGATGGACGGCGAGAGCACAGTCTCTTCTCAGAGGGTGGATTTCCCAAGGCTGGTCAGCCTCCTCTGGCCGGCTAAGTGGGCTCCCTCCCAAGGACACCCCTCTGCCCATGCTAGACAGAATGTGCGCTCGTGCTGCTTGAGGCCATGGGCTTCGCGTGTGCGAGGGGGGCCTTTTTGTGAGGCAGAGACCAGACCAGTAGATGCTGGCACCAGTCTGCCAGCCCCTGGGAAGCACACAGAGCTGATCCCACAGCCGGAGGACCAGGAGTGCTGAAGACTGGAAGTGGGCTGATGGGCTGGGGGGAGGAGGGGACCAGACTAGTGGGGGGAACAGCCTTGTGCAGGGAGCAGCACCCTTGTTCCTTGTTAGCCCAGCAAGAGTTTTCCCTCCCCTCTCAGTACTCTCCGGCCACACAGGGGTACAATGTGCTGCCTGACTGGGGACCTCCGAGGGTTAAAAGGCTTTGGTCCTCCCTGTAGCAGTGACCTAGAGCTCTCATCTGGGAGGGAGAGGCTACTCTCGCCTGGACACTGATGTGTTGCTGCGCTCTGGGTCAGAAGTTTTACTGCTCAGGGTTTTTTTGTTTTTAACAAAGCACTGGGAACTATTTGTCCTGAAGAACATGTTGTAGTTAGCAGAGTTAATGCACCTCAGATACCTGGTTTATAACGGAGACAGTCTGTAGTGTCTCTTTATCAGAACCATCATTCTCAACAGCTTACAATATTTGACAGATTATGAGGACATAGCTGGTATTTGAGTGTCATGGTGAGGAGGCCCCGAATGGTACATCTCACAAACGGGGAGGCTTTGTGCCCTTTTCTCCCGTGTATATGGCAGAGCATCAGTGCTGACTACCAGTGTTTCAGCAGCTAACGAACTTATCAGAGGCATCTCTCCTACCTGTCTGCTGTTGATGGAGGAATGATCGTTGGTTCAGCTGAAAGTTGCACACTGATGTTAACACAGCCAGACAGTTTGGATAAATAAAACATGAAAGATGAGTCAGCAGCAACTACTTCATCTACCATTTGCTGTGCCAGGACCACATTAACTGATACATTCAGGCTTTGCAGCATCCTGCGTTGCTTGCTTTGAGATGCCCTGGCCAAAGGGGGGACAGAGGCATGTGGGGGCTGCCCGGCCTCGGATGCTTTGCATGAGCAAAGGACATGTCCCATGCTTGTGTGTGGTGGGACAGGGCTGCAGGGGTGGTGGCCCTCCTGGTGAGGAGTTGACCATGAAATGCAGAACCTCCAAAAAATAATCTCAGGCCTGATCTCCCCTTATTTCAGAGGCTGCAAACTTAAATATGTTTTAAAGTAGTTCAGTGTAATAATCAGAGAGTAGAGGCTTGCCTGAAGTACTCTGCCAGATAAAAACTAAAGGAGGTACTGAGCAACCAGTAACAGTAAAACACACTGACATGGTTTGATGGCTTAGGATGAAATTTTAATTGTTCTGTATTGCATTTCTGTTTATAAAGGCTGTGCAGTAACCAAAGTGTGTTTTTTCTTCCATACGTGAATCCAGATTATTGGCAGCAATGCTGGCTTTAACGAGAACTGCAAAGAAAATCTGGTCTCTAAACAATTGTGGAGGCTGTCATTCTGAATTGTGTTTTGAGCTCTTCAAGCCTTGATTAATAGGACGAGGCATCAGTTCAGAATTCATATGGACTCCAAATGAAGTTCTTCATTCCAAATGGCCTGCTCTTCTGGAGTGCGCCTGCGTTTGGAGCTAGAATCATGTCTATTCAGTACTAATTAGCTAATGCACATAATAACTTTGGCTGTGTCTGCATGAACCATCTTCCCATAATGCTTTCTGCTGTTACTGTCACAGAAACATCATGTTGCTATTGTAGATGTAGACTCTGTGAGAACTAAGGTGACCTGTTCAGTGGATGAGTTAATGGAGGTAATACTTTGAACTGCCATGTTTCCAAAGGGAAGAATTTGGTTGTGCTTCCAAGGATCCAGAAGTATGGCAGTGGGTGAGGTGTAAGAATCTGTAAATGCTGAAAGCTGTCTGGTATCTCCTAGTCAATCATCATGTAGTTCCTGCAGCAGGGACAGTTGCAAGCGTTGACTTGGTACCTCCTTACCATTTTTAAAGTTGGCGGTCAGATACAATGACAAGGCGTCTTGGGGTTCAGCAGGTGAGAAAAGCTGGGTTTGAATGTAGTGACATTGTTATAGTCAGCTGTTTCTTTTCTCTCTCCAAAGAGTCATTTAGGCAACGTCTTGGTTGATATGAAGCTCATTGATATCAAGGACACTTTACCCGTGGGCTTCATCCCCATTCAAGAGACCATCGATACACGTAAGTTGGCATCTGTTCTTCAGTCCCGTGCCTTGGGAGCAGCTGCTCCACCAGTGCCTGTGTGGTCGGGTGGTGGAGGGCTGTGTCCCAGGCAAGGGACGCTCTCAGCACTGCTGCTCTCTGGGGTTACATGTGCATGTCTGGGGGCAGCTCTGGACTGCAATGAAACAGCCTTCGGTTTTCCGGTACTCTTCAGGCTTTTTAATACTGCTGCCTGACTGTCACCAGTTTGCCTGCTAGAGCAGCACAGCTCTGGGGCTGGAAGGAATTGTTTATTCTTTCATTTTGCAAGTGTGGGCTAGGCCTAGCGGGAGCAGAACTGCTGTGCTGGGGGATGTTCACAAATGGATATGGAAAGGAAGGGCATGTGCTTGTGGTGCTGGGTCATGCACGCTGGCTTTACGCCTCCCTCTGTGAACAAATGAAGGCCCGTGTCCTGGCAGGTAGCACTGAGGATGGTGGGGTATATTTGCACTTGCTGAGAGAAGGCACAAGTGGAACGTCCAGGGAAAATACCATCCTGATTTCTGCAAGGCAGAAGTGGCTTCACTGCAACATTTAAGTCAGCAGTTCCCGAACAGTGTATTTGGATCCCCTGAGACTCATGGCAGCAGCAGCTGGAGCCACGTCTGGTCGTAGCACTCTGTTCTGCAGCAGGCATCAAGTGCTTTCGAATTGCAGTACGGAGGAGGCTGGGGACGAGCCCCGTGGGAGCTGAGTGTGGAAGGGCTGCAGGACACCATGCGCTGGTGCCGAGTGTACAGATAATGCTCAAGAGCAGGGCTGGTACCAGTGCTCGTCAGTAATGAAATCCAGCCTAGTTATGAGTAGAAAGGAGTTATATGAGCTTGCTTTGCAGGGAATAATTCATCTGGGTCTGCAGCAGATGAGGATGGTTTTTCAGTCACTACTGACCTGGTTCTGATTTGAACCTGTGACCTAGAAGTGAAAGGCTCTGCAGCCCATTTCCCATTCCCCTGGGTCACCCCCTTGCCCTGGAGAATTCCTGGGCACGTGTGGCGCAGGGGAGAGTCGTCGGCTTATCCTGCTCGCCCTTGGGAGCGCTGGACACTTACTGTGTGCTGCTGTAATTTTTGTGAAAGTCCTGGTGGAAAGGTGGAAGGGGACTGTGTAATTAATTTAAAATGCATTGGATTGCGACCCATGCAATCTTTAAAGCAGAGGCACTGTCTGTATTAATGAGGTGGTGCATATCCCTGCCTCCATTAGCATGAATGAACACATTTCGATTGACTGTTTATAATATGTTTACTTAAAATTAACTCTGGTTAAGCATGTGTAATTAATGAATCCAGCTCCTAAACCAAGTTTGCTACGGACTGCAGACTCTAGCCAAGTGTAAAAGAGACCAAAGACAAAAAAGCAAATAGTCAGCTTTATACTTACTGTGAAAGTCAAATAAGAGGCACTGATTTTGTTCAGAGTTAAATTTGTGGTTTTACATGTTTCTGTGCTCTTCTCTAAGTGATGGTTGACTTATAGTAAGTATATTAAATATAGTACTCCTTACTAGGTTCTGAGAAAATTTTCAGATGTGGAACGTTAAACCCTGGGCTCCTAAAATCAGTTTTAGGCACTTCAAATAAAAGCCCAGTTTTCCACAGCAGGAGAAGACTAGTCTTCAGGGATACAGGTATTTAACATCTCTAAAAAGCAGCACTGTAACTGCAAAGCTGCTTGCACAGATGCTGTATTGTGACACACCTCGCACTGTCTGTACATTTATTGGTGCTGGTGCGACAGCAAATTTCAGAGGCCAGGATGGATTGCTTTTTCCAAGGTGCGGATTACGAAACAGGAGGAGCCTACAGAGACAGGGCTGCTTGCCATCTGTTGAAGTGAGAGCATATTTTTAAGCTGGGGGATATTTATTCATATTAAACTGAAGGGTTTTGATTTTGCAGGCACTTGTTTGCAGTTGTTGGTTGTTTCCAGATTTTCATTCAGTGGCTGCACTTTAGAGTTTCAGTTTATCAATGGACTTAGTCATGTCTTTCAAGTGCCTGCATTCACAAATAGAAACCTCACCTTGCTCACATTGAGACTGTCGTGGACTCTAGGGTGAGACAGAGCAATGGCTTCCAAGCACCGCAGATCTGTATCTGTGTGCCGGTACCACCCATTGTCATGCGACTGACCCATAGCTGGATGTGGATTGTATCTGCATGCAGACAGACAGCATGCATATACATGAATTCATCATACAGATAAGCCTTAAATCTGATGGGCTTGAGTTTTTCTTGATGGGATAACGTGGAAAAAAGTGAAATTGCTCTGCGATGCATAGCAGAAAAGGGCCGTGCAGCAAATTCACCCACCCTCTGAACACGGGTCAGTGCAGCACAGCTGCCCTGTAGGAGGTCCTAGCAATTACTGCTTTGTAAATCTGGTTTATCCCTACAAAGATACCAGGGTAAACACGGTGGGAGTATCATTTCAGTGCTTGATGACTGAGTCAGGAGAGGTCATTAACACTTAGGATGCGTGAGATTTGGGCAGACAGCTTTTACTGTTAGCCACTCTGCATGGCAGTCTGTTTTTCTGCCTGCTCCTCCGCTCGGTTTGGTTGGCTGTTTGGAAGCACTTGGCAGAATAAACTGACCGGTTGTGTCAGCAGCTTCCAGGTATGTTCCTAGAGGCGATGCTTGCAGGAGGAATATTTAGATACGACTATCCAGGCCGGTAAGGCAAACATTATCTTGGAAAGAGAAAGCAAATGTGAGAAGTATGTGTAAGTGGAAAAATCACCTGCCATTTCTGTTCTGTGGTGCGGTACTCTGTGGCGTACATGATGTCTTATCTTCTCTGCAGAGGGTAGTAGGGAGTATTGGTTTATCGCAGTGCCTAATAACAAATCTCACACAGTGTACAGAGAGCTCCTGATAGAAAATTTCTCCAGTCACTGAATGGCACTGCACTGTCTGGTTTGTTGACATATATCTGTTCTTTGGCTCCAGTTCCTGCCATAATTATCTGCCTAATATCTGGAGAGACAATAAATAACATTTATACCCTAATCTTGCATAAAAACCACCCTGTGTCCTGGGTTGTTTTTGCAGAAGAAATAGCTTTCAGAAAGAAGAGGCTGTGCATTAAATTCATCCCTCGAGATTCTACAGAGGCAGCGATCTGTGATATCCGAATCCTGGGTAGATCTAAACAAGCCCCTCCTCAGTACACGTTCATAGGGTAAGTGCCCCTCACTCCAGAAGCTGTTGTCATAAATTCAATTGTACCAAGGCTAAGCACCCTGTTTTCCTATAATTACTAAGTAGTAGTTTTGTAAGAGCTGAAGCTTGTCATTAGAAAAGTCTACATAAGTACAAGTGTTAGTGAGTTTGATGTAGGAATTAACTAAACCCCCCCCTTTTTTTTTTCCAATTAGACTGGTTCTCACTAACCAAGGTGTTTGTGAAACACGTCAGTGCCTGATACTTGCACACGTGTGTAGCATTTGCTTGTAGCATTAATGTCTTCTGTGTTGATTACATAGGGAGTTGAACAACATGGGCATTTGGTACCGGATGGGCAGAGTTCCACGCAACCATGAATCTTCACAGCCTGTGACTCCTCCTTCCCAAGTACCGTCTTCAACACCAGCTCCTAACTTGCCAAGGTAAGTTTTCTGCTTTCCAGCCCCTTCTGCTTGATGCTGCATGGTGTATTGTTACTAACTTTGCCTGGTGGAATCAAGACCAGGGTACCGCGTCAGTATGAATAATTACGTGGCATGATCTGATGATGAGGAAATGTGTCGTTCTTTCAAGTATTTGCCTACTGGAAGTTCTTTTGGCTGTTGCCGTATAAAAGCATATGGGTGAAGAAGTCAGAAGAAAGAAGAAGCCTGCAGAGGAAGGGAAACAGCAAACTACGCCTTTTTTTTTCTTTAAACTGTGTGGGATGTTGCAGTTTTCAACAAGTACACGTGGGTCACCCCTGGAGGGTGGGCCAGAACTATAGCCAAGTCGATTTCTCTCCTTGTCCAAAGGGAGGGAGAAGCGTTCATACAGATTTTAATGCGTAGGGAGACAAGTTTTGTTTTGCTCATTCTCCAGAATCAGTCCACTCATGGTTTGAAGTACTGTCCGTGTTTTTTCTTTTCTTGGACCCAACTACTGTGCTCCAGTCTTGCAGCTGACATTGGGCATGCAGAGCAGACTGCTCAACCTGCAGTGACTGACAGGAGCAGCACTTCTGGGCAGACACTGGCATAGTGTCTGTCCAGGTTGCTTTCCCTGTGTTATACACAGTATTTGTGTGTATAAATGTATGCACTTGTGTGTATACTTGCATATAATAGTAGTCCTGTATTGACAGCTTACTTGCTGGATTTCTCTGGACAAAACAGAGCGTTGTTAAGCAACAAACCAGCACAGATAGAGGCTAAACTGAATGCTTCGTACTCCTGGAACTTGCTATGAAAGCACAGCATCCAGTGTGAGATGGGCTCCTACTGATGAGGCTCATCAACTGAACTCCAGGCCAGGCTATTGCCAGGGGACAGCACATTCTCTATGGGTCCCTTTGGGATTTTGCTTAATTAAGCAAACATGTATTTTTGCACTAGGCATTTGGTATACTGCAGATACGTTTACAGTATTGCAGTAACTGTTGAGAGCTAGAATTTCAAAGGATACAGCGGAGGGGAATTCCAGGGGGGTTGGTTTGTATACAAACATCCTTGTGTCCTATGGGTGGAAAATACTCATGTCCTTCGGACTCTTGATTTACAGGTCATTTCAGAGAGTGGCACTTTTAAACTGCTGTAAACTGTTCCCAAAAAAGCTATTGGGTATCTTTTTAAGGCAGGTGTCTACATTTGAGCCTTCACCCATGACCCAGACTTAAACCTACTGTCTTGCGGTGGCTCTTGGAACTCTCCAAAGCATTTGGGCGTTTCTTTCACTGAGAGTTTTGCTCAGTCACCTGCCATGCCGTGGCACACTGCTTGCTGTCCTGTACTGTCAGGTGTGCTGCAGGCAGAGATGCTGTCTTGCTTCTCAAACAGAGATGGAGGCAAAAGAGATGAAAAGCCAGGAGTCTTTTGGAGATTTCAGCCTGTCCCACCAGGAGCTGATACGTTGTTTTGAAGCTCCACTGGATGTAAGCTACATGCTTAGCACAGGCCATGCGAGATCAGAGAAAAAGATATCTTGATTTTAGAGCACAGATCTTCATTTTCTGTTTGCAAGAAATTCCTGCCTGGGCAGATTTCCACAATAAGGAGAAAAAATTATCATAGCAAGAGAATGTCAATGGCGGTCCTTAATCACTAAGCGTGGAAGGGTCACTTTATGGCCGAGCAGGGAAGGCTACAGAGCAGCGTCAGAGCTATTGGGAACAGGGCCAAAATTAGAGCTCAGAGCATCAGCGACAGTCTGAAAAGAAGTGTTTACAAGGCTTATATATTTTATAACCTCTTGTTGTACAGTTTATGGTTTACAATGGCTGCAAGGAAATTGGATCAGTTTTGTTTTACTTGCCAAATAAAGCAAATGTCAAAATAGTCAATATAAAATGTATTCTAATTTGGCTGAGTTAAAACAGCCAGTATGCAGTGGAATAATTGAATGTTACATTAATGCCTCCTAGTAAAAACCACCTGTCTGTAGCCAGCTCCACTCTCATGCCCTGTGTGTGATTTACAGGTAACTTTTACACCACCAGCCTGATCATTCAAAGCATCTTTCATGTCTGTTTTTTTTTTACTCCGATTATTTATTATCCAATATATTTTTTAAGAAATAGAAATGTATATAAAGGTGCATCCTGCAAATATTTCATTATTACGGGGAACACATACTACTTGAAAGCCTTTTCTAATACTTTATCAGCAATGTGGTAAGTTACTCAACACTTAATGTTTGTGGAAGATTGTAGTCACAAGTAACCTCTTATTTTTACATCACCATAGAGAGATGAGATTACACTGGTAGCCAGTTTGCTGCTTTATTCCATGTGGATATATCCTGACAGGAACAGCAGCGAGTTATTCTGATGCTGCCATGAGTGCTAAGAGAAAATCGGTGAGCGGTGTCAAATAGAGCGCTGTGGAGATTCTGCTGTTAGGCTGACCAGCCTGTTTAAGCTATTCTCTTCAGTTGCTGTCTTGCATTATAAAATAATTTTAAATCAAGAGGGTATGCTTGGGTGCTTCAGAACAATTGCTAACACTGGTTATAAACTAAACCAGTAAAACACACCAGTGAGCTTCTGCACAGCAAAACCTTCCTAAATGGAAGGACTTTTTACCGTGGGAGATGTTTATTTCCGCACCAGTCATGTTTCCTCCTCTGATCCATGATGTAAGTTACTGATGGCAGTGGATGGCGGCGCATCAGAGTTTTGTCATGTGTCAGAGGTTTGACCTCCACAGCTTGCTGCACGTCAGCAATGCTGCTTCCGCTGCTTGTGTCGCGGGGTTATGGCTCGCAGTCAGAACTGCACAAGGGGAGGCTTTGTTTGAGATTTGAGCTGGACTGCATATGTTATTTTTCAGCCATTTCTTCTCCTTGGTGTTTCCTACTGCAGGCATCTGGCTTAATGGTCTCTAACGGCAGCCCTCGCCATCCCAGTGAGGATGGCGTGCTGTGCTGTGGAACACAACTGTGCCATTGTGCAAGGCATCAAGCTGCTTTACTGTCTTTTCTCTCCAAATTCTGCGACAGCTTCTTGGCACTAATGGCAGCCTGGAGAAATGCACTTGCAGTTTCCCATCCTAGAAGGCTGCTAGTAAAGAACTGCTTTTGTTGACTTGAGTCACCAGCGGGAGTTTAATGTAGCTTTCCTCAGTACCTCTGCTCTGTGTTCAAGGCCTGCACTCTCCAGTGCTGCATGGTGACATCGCTTTGGGAAGCAAGAAGGTAATCCTTCCCCAAAAGAGGTGCTAGTAACAGGTAACTCACCTGGCCCTTTGCCCACTTTTACTTCACCCAGCCTGCGGATCGGCCATTGCCAGTGCATGGTCTGGGGACTTGGAGAAAAGTACATGTCACGAGCATTTGAGCAGTGTCGTAGGGCTCAGCCCCTCCATGCCTCAAGCTCTGTTAGAGTAGGCTAGAGTAAGATTTGTGTGTGATGTTCTCCTCTTCATGAGTCCAGTTCCAGCCTTTTGGGAACAAGTCCCTGACTTCTGTGAATGCGTGCAGAGCCAACCTCAAACCATTTTGCCTTGCAGCTGCCTATGTGATGGCTCCCGTCACAGCCGCAGTGCTTTATGAGCCCGTGTGGCTTCTGTGGTTCGGGAGTGAGTTTCACATCCCTCCCCGAGGTGCTGCAGGAGTCTCTACCACCATCATTCAAACAGCCCTCTCACAATTTGTCAGCTGCAAGCAAGATGTCAGTCAGTGCTGCTGAAGTGTGTTTTACAGTGACAGACATAATTGCACTTAACTTTTTGCGTGGATGTTATCAATCTGTGACGGATACTTTGGGAAATGGAGCAGTCTGATTGCAGATGATATGTCACAGGCGTTTAATCTTCCTCTCGGAGAGACCAGGATTCAGTCACAACTTTTACTTGTTGATGTCAGGTTTTGAAAATGTAGATTTGCACTGACCCTGGGAATTGTTCAGTCATTTAGTTTGCGGGGCTGTCATCTGAAAGGTTAATGGCTTACCAGAGAGAAGGAGGATCTTGTTACAATCCGCTTGTATTCGTATCAGTTGTTAGCGTGGCTGGGCACTTGGTGTTTTGGTTCAGAAGGGCAGAACTCCTCCAGCTGCCTTCCTGGGATGCCTGTGGCACGTCTCCATGGCTGTTCTAATTGAGAACCACGGAGGGAGGGCAGGGCAGAGGGCAGGCCAGTCCTGTGGCAGGGGGTAAGCCCGAGCTGGAGGTCTCTGGGTCTCACGGTGCCTGCTGCTGTGCAGGAGGCAGAGCCACGAGTTGGTTGCTCGTGCTCTGGACTGACCAAAAAGGCACGTGGGTGAGCAAAACAGTGTCGGCCCCGAGTGCTGCACCTCCAAGCGTGCCTGGTGACCAGGAGAGGTGGCAGAGCTGGTGTGATGCCTGGCCAGGAGACGCCAGCGGCACAGGAGCGCTGCAGCTCGGGAGGGAGTTGCTGTCCTGGTGGGGTGGCAGTCAGGAACGCTGACCAGCACCATCAGGTTTGTCGCACGTGGGGCTCCTGGTGCAGCCAGGCACAAGCTGTCGTGGGGACTGGCAGAAGGAGGCACCAGTCTGCAGAGCCAGATGGAGAGAGGATCGGGAGAGGGGTGGCCGCTTCCCTGAGAGCAGCGTGCTGCTGGTGAAGCGTGGCTGCCCGCTCCCGTGCACACAGCAACGGGGACAGCTGAAGCTGGCACAAGCCAGCCAGATCAAAAGGGCACAGTTTTCGCCTAGTTAGCAAGGCGATGCAGCCGGGCTGGCCTGAGAGGCCGCAGGCAGCGAGCATGGGGTGAGCTGGAGGGTGGCAGCCTGTCACGGTCAGGGGGAGCCAGGCAAAGTCTCCCTGGGTGCAGGGGTTCTGTGTCCAGCCAGGCAGTATGAAATGCCCACCGTGGGCTGGCAAGGGACCGGGCTGCTGGTGCTGGAGGTGGGGCCCATCTGGAAAAGGCAGCGGGTGCTCTGTACCACCCCAGCTGGAGGGGGCCACAGTCAGGGTCCCGGCCCCTACGG